AATATTGAAGCAAGCTTGCTGCAAGACTGGTACTGTATTCCTGTTTAAAACTGCAGTAGGAGTTCCAGCATATTTTAATTAATTTTTTTTTTAAATTATAGAAACAGTCAACATTAAAATTTTAAAAACCTTATTTTAAAAATTTGGAAACAATTCCAATCAGATGTAAACAAAATTGCAAAAGCATAATATGTTAACGCAGTTCTTACCTCACATGCTGGAAGGTAGATGTTACCATCCGGGTTGGAAACATCAGCAAATGTTGTATTGTCATTTCCACCAAATGCTTTATACTTAGCAAGAAGCTTCTTTAGGTTGTTACTTGACCGGTTAACTTGACCACAAAGTCTCTTTGCAACTGCTTGACCATCTATATTAATTTTACAAAAGGAGTTGTTAATCCATGCTTAATATATCAAATTCATATATAACATCATTGATTTTTTTTTCCACATAATTTTCATCAACTCTTTCAGAATACAAGCATTTAAGGCCACAAGCTATCTAACTAATATGGTTTAAACTAGTATGTGATCCTGTATATCAGTACAGTAGAAACTATTTTGCATACCTAATGCATACACCAGACCACCCCAAGTTTTAATTGTTTATAAAAATAAGTAATGGCATGTTAAGTACCATAATACTTCTTTTTCAAGTCCAAAAGAAACATCCGTTCTTGAGCTCCTTCCCTCATCTTGTCAAGGATGTTTTTTTGGCACCTTCTTTGAAGGACATCATTTGCAGATATATATTTTAACTCATTTTTGTGCCATCTTTTGCTGATTCCCTTTGCTTTCTCTAAACATGCAACAGATTTCTGTAGTCTGTCGACAATACAATCAACAAATTAATACAGTATATCCCTAATAAATAGTGGAAGAAATAAAAACAAAACATCCAAAAAAAACATACATACTTGGAAATGAATAACTATTTATAGGAAATGTAACAGACTATATAATTGATATAATTTAATGAGGAAGGGGAAAGTGTCCCTGAAATACTGGCACTATTGTTTTCAAATATTTATTAATATCCAGATTATCATGTAACCATTCTAAGAAAAAAGAAATTATGTATTATAATATCTTTGAAAGTCAGATTGTTCACAGATAGTTTGTCTATAACCAAATGAAATGATTAACTTCTTGGGCAGAGAATATGTATACTAAACCTATGCAATCATGATAGAAGAAAACATACCCTTACCTAGTATACTGCTCAATTAAATCTGGATCCTTGTCTTCTTGTATACACTCCCTTAAGTGTTTAAAAGAAGTGAATTAAATTAAGTATTGGCTTTATAACATTTGTATACATGTTAAGCACGACAATTGTATTGCCAAGGCAACAGATAAAACATGTATCTAACTCTCATAAAACATGAATCATATTGCAATTGACACACCACTAAATATGTTACAATGTACCTTAATGAATTCAGTCTCTGCAGCTGTTCAACATAAATCTCTTCCCACGTAGCTAAAATGACAAATGCACAGTAAATGATATAATAGTTTCAAATATAATAATAATAATTATTATTATTGTATTTCTAATAGTAATAATTACCATAAATTACATCTCTATCTCCTATATTACTGTTAAACTTTGCAACTGAAATGTTATTATGTAAACAGAGGATGTAAAAGTTATATATTAAAAAATACCTTTAACAGGCTTAGCCTTGGAGCACAAAGTAGCCTTTTCTTCAATCTTCCATTCTTGAATTGTCTCTTCTGTAATGACTGCAATAAATAAATGCAAACGATGGCCACAATTCTTCAGATACTTACACACACATAAATACATACACATATAAATACACACACATATACACACCTACGTACATACATACATACATAAATACAATTGCATTTAATGTGGTTGGTTAAAACTGGTTGTAGCAACCGTGTGTGCACTGAACCTTGGTGATATTGGATTTGCTGGTTCAATTTCCATCATGCTTCTTTCCCCATTTAACAAGAACAGCACAGGCTAGTGCATTGTCTTTAGGATGAGACAATAAGCAGATGGTCCTGTGTACTACTTGGCTCTGTGCACGTTAAAGAATGCAGTAGGCTTTTCTCAAAACAGCAGGGGATTGCTAAACACCACCTATCCTAATAGTATAGTATCGCACTGTAAATAGGTATTCAGACTTACAGGGTGACCCACTTGTCAAGATGCTGAACTGGCAATAATGAGATTGCATAGGTAGAAAAACATACATAAATATGATTTTAATCCAACATGTCAGTGATGTGGTCAGTGGACCAATTCCAACAGACACCATATGCAGTACTATAGAACATTCTGTGTTGCCAC